AGAGCGATCAGATACTTGGAATACCAATCACGTATACGTAGTGTCCGCAAAAATGAAACTAGTCAGGTATCAACTTCCATTGAAGTTCAGTGGTTCTGAACTAAATTGCTGGTTATTGGTCAATTTCACGAAATGCAACACCGTTAAAAATTTCTTGAAATTTCAGTCACAATGTCATCTGGATTTCCAAGGTTGTGAGTTTGAATTCAATTTCAATTGAAAACGTTCACTAAATTTGTCATTCATCTTGAAAATTCAAGGAAATTTGATTTTTCATATTAAAAAACCATTGGTTTTTCAATGAAAGCTTGAATTTTCAAATTCATCGTGGACATTGAACATCAAACATAATTGAATTTTGAATAGATTGAAAATTCAGAGAAGTTATTGCCTCAATTTTATATATTATCAAGGCTTTTCAGTGCCGTATGGATCTGAAAATCGAGAATTACTTGAATATTCAAGAAATTAACTGATTTGTCAATGAAGAATTCTACAGAAATTTCATGTTACTTTATTGTTGTTAAAAATTTCAAGTTTTTTCACCTGAAATTTCAGGTCTAATTTTCTAACAGTGAACTAGTACATCTACTTATCTCACACTGTTAAAAATTTTTGTTTGAATTTTTCGTGCCAAATTCCAGAAATTTTATCGTGCTCCAATCCCACTGAAATTTCAGGAAATCTTGTCATTGAAAAGTTGAAATTTTGTGGAAAAATCAAACAGAACTGTAAATTTCCGCTCCATTTGTCCCTGAAAATGAATAGAAAACCAGAACATTCTGATAAATATATTCTTAAATTCAATGCCACCTGTCACTAGATTGGAAATTCAAATAAATTAAGGAACTTTCCTCTTTATGCCCCTTAAAATTTTGAAATTTTTACTGAATTTCCAGTGAAACCTGAAATTTCATTATTTTTTCCCCCTAAATCGCATTGAGTATCACTGTCCTAAAAATTGGTAGTCAACTGTCCAGGAAATTTAATTTTATTCTAACAGTCTCATTGAAAAATAAAGGAACTGTTTGCATAGCAACAATAACAACGGACTAAACCCCGTTTTTTTTTCATTCAAACGGACACAGAATGCCAGATTGAGGCATCCTCAATCCCGAATTTTTCACGCCAGTAACGAGCCTCAAACAATGGACAAAAAGACACGAAAAAGGAAAAAAGACTGGTTTTTATTTATCATGAGAGATAACGTCTTTGTTCGACTCTCTCTCTATTTTCCCTCCTTGCGTGGCATACAATTGAGTCGAACTCGAAAAAAAAAACGGAGGAAGGGAGAGGACTCGTGCCTAACAAAGATAACCGGACGATTTATCGTTCTCAGGGGTGGAAGTTATCGTTGGGTACATCGAGACAGATCAGCCCAGCTGTACCGGCCTCTTCCACCTCTTCCCGCTAATCATTTTTTCATCAATGTATCCTGAAGCATCATCAGGAGGGACTCCTGTAACAAACAGCATTCAGCTTCACACGCAGACGCTTTATTTCTTGTTCTCCCATTCCCTCGTTTTTCCCCGTATCCAAACGTTAATGTCTTTATCACGAGACTACAGAGTCGACCCCCTCCCTTTAATTATCAAGCCAACCTGGGGATTTCACACATCCCCAAAAAATCATGACGAAACGACTCAATAAATTTTCCTCCATTCGGAAAAAAATATTTTGAGTCATAAAAAAAATCTGTTGATTCAACCCCAAAATTACCAGAAACAATTTCACGAAAAAATTTAACACTGAGTCAGTAAATGATTTTTAAAGAATCCAAGAATCTGCTCATTTCTTTAAATCAACGAATGATAGATTTTAGAGCTCCACATATCCATTTTTCTAGTCGCATTCCCCCTAGAATGTGTCTCACACCGGGAATACACTCGCCAAAACAAGAACTAAAGAAATTGCGAAATTTCAGTCAGCAATGTGATAGCTGCCAGCGGATTTAAACATTCCCATCCAGACACCTTAAGGGAGCTGTAGCGAAGGATTCATTTTTCATTTCGTGGGCCCGCGTGAGAGTAATTTGCATACTGTGGGTAGATGAAGTGGGAGAGACGGTGAAGCCGAAAAGAAAAAATGACAAGTGAGACAAAAGCGAGTAGAGAATCCTCCGTTGAAAGAAGTATGGCACGAAGAACCGGAAGAGAAACGTAAATGTCGCGGTTTTGAAGAAAACGAAACAGGGGTGAAGAGAGATTCGAAAAAAAATAGAGGAGGAAAAATGTTGAAGCGAGAGGCTGAAGCAACGAATGATAAAATATGCCTCCGCCCTTTCAAATAAAAGTGGACGCGAACGAACGTACGAATGCCCTGCACCAATGTTTTATGCATATCCCTGAATAAAATATGATTACAAAGTCCTTTTGATTCAACGTATGTAGCGGCTTTCCGCGAAGGCTTCCACCAATGCCTGCGCAGAGACGCACACAGGGAGGAGGGAATGAGAGAAACCACACGGCTGTGTTTGCCTACCACCCCCATTTCTGCCTCTTACATCCCAAAGCCATAGACCGTATATAGCCCCCCCCCCCTCCCCTCCCTCGCCAGTTTGCGTGTGTGACTGTACGCACGCAACATTTTCAACCCTCTCCCTCAGTTTAATATAACCACCGGTGCGCTTCAATTGCGGAAGGTATAGACCACCGCGTTTCGCGCGCTCAAACATTCCGGCGATGAATAAACTCCAACCGTTATATAAAGAACCTCTCACAAACGTAATACATCCCGCGCTCCCAGCTTGATCCGTTTCATCGTGGAGTAATCCCTTTTTTCCTCATCCCTGATAATTAAACTTAATTGATTTATTATTTCCACACGGAATTTGAGGAGACCCGCTGCAACACGTATAAGTAATTGCTGTGAAATGTTACGGTTCCGTGTCTGGCAAGTTTTGATTGAGCAGAGGGTTGTATAGGGCATCGCATGAACTGGGAACATTAGGACTGTAGGTGCGTGAATGCGCCGCAGGATCGATCCGGTGGTGTTGCCAACTTGAAACCGATGGATCAACCTGCTTTTTAATAAAATATATGGGATCTTTAGGAGGCTTAGTGTGAGGAGGCAGCTTATTCAATTCATAAATTTATTCGATAGCTATGGAAGATAGTGTTAGCAAGTTACTCTTGAAATTTCAAGGAAAATATCTTGAAATTTTTAACAACGGATCATTTACGTGGAATTTTCATGGATCTTGTTATTGATTAAATCAGCGAATTTTCTTGAATATTCAATGAAATTTGATTTCTCAGGCTCATACGACAATGAACATTAGTTAAAATCGTGGAAAATCAGGCAACTTTTCTTCCGATTTTTCAATCTCTTGAAAATTCGATTAATTCAGTAGCGAAGTGGTAAAGCGGTTTAAGTCGACTTATCTCTCAGTTGCGTTCTTGAAGAATATCTCCGAATTCAAAGGAGGTAACGAAATTTTCGTAATAACCTTTTTTCTAGAGCAAGTTGAGTGCTACAAAAAAGGTCCTAACAAAAATTTAGCTATCTTCCTTAGATTCCGAGATATTCACTGAAAACTGGCCAATAGTCAAAATCGACTTGAACCGTTTTACCACTTCGCTACTGAATTGTAATGCTTAATTTTCGCGATAGGTGTGAAAATCCTAATTGTCTTCGAAAATTCAATGATCATGCATCATGAAAAACTTAACTTTATTGAATTTCCAAGATGAATCAGGAATTCCATAAAATTTCTGACAGTGTATTATCGCAAAGAACTCCACAAAAGCGACATTCATGAAGAGAAACCAAAAGACTTCATAATTATTCCGAAAATCTAAATGTAAAAATGAGAGAATGAACATGTAAAATATACTCCTCTCGGTTATCTTCACTTGAGCTAATGTCAGTCTGAAATGAAAGAATGTGTGTGCACTTGCCAATTCTCGAACATTATTAAACCCTTTATTTTAAAATTGATTGCAGATCGATTCCGTTCTCATCATGAAAAACTCTATTTTATTGAAATTCCAAGATGAATCAGGAATTCCATAAGCAATTTAGTTTGAAATTGAATGCAAGTTCCGAATATTGAAAATTCAAATGCATTTGTTACTTAAATTTCCAAAAATTTCCAACAGTGTATTATCGCAAAGAACTCCACAAAAGCGACATTCATGAAGAGAAACCAAAAGACTTCATAATTATTCCGAAAATCTAAATGTAAAAATGAGAGAATGAACATGTAAAATATACTCCTCTCGGTTATCTTCACTTGAGCTAATGTCAGTCTGAAATGAAAGAATTTGTGTGCACTTGTCAATTCTCGAACATTATTAAACCCTTTATTTTAAAATTGATTGCAGGTCAATTCCGTTCTCATCATGAAAAACTCTATTTTATTGAATTTCCAAGATGAATCAGGAATTCCATAAGCAATTTAGTCTGAAATTGAATGCAAGTTCCGAATATTGAAAATTCGAATGCATTTGTTACTTAAATTTCCAAAAATTTCCAACAGTGTATTATCGCAAAGAACTCCACAAAAGCGACATTCATGAAGAGAAACCAAAAGACTTCATAATTATTCCGAAAATCTAAATGAAAAATGAGAGAATGAACATGTAAACAATACTCCTCTCGGTTATCTTCACTTGAGCTAATGTCAGTCTGAAATAAAAGAATATGTGTGCACTTGTCAATTCTCGAACATTATTAAACCCTTTATTTTAAAATTGATTGCAGATCTATTCCGTTCTCATCATGAAAAACTCTATTTTATTGAATTTCCAAGATGAATCAGGGATTCCATAAGCAATTTAGTCTGAAATTGAATGCAAGTTCCGAATATTGAAAATTCGAATGCATTTGTAACTTAAATTTCCAAAAATTTCCAACAGTGTATTCTCGCACAGAACTCCACAAAAGCGATATTCATGAAGAGAAACCAAAAGACTAATGTCAGTCTGAAATGAAAGAATGTGTGTGCACTTGTCAATTCTCGAACATTATTAAACCCTTTATTTAAAAATTGATTGCAGGTCAATTCCGTTCGCCGCGAATAACCGAACATCCGTCAGACATAACAGTAGCAAAAAACGAGCCAGTCACCCTGAACTGCAAGGCAGAGGGTAAACCAGAGCCAACGATAGAGTGGTATAAGGATGGTGAGCCGGTGCAAACATCGCCGGGCGATGCCAAGTCACATCGTGTGCTACTGCCAACCGGATCCCTCTTCTTCCTACGTGTGATGCATGGAAAAAAGGAGCAGGACGGCGGAGTTTATTGGTGTGTTGCTAAGAACCAGGCGGGCAGTGTTAGCAGTAGAAATGCCACCCTCACCGTAGCAGGTAAGAACTCACTAAATTCCCCCTTTATCACTATTATTACACATCCTCGTCTTGCAATGGCCCACACGCGGTTTAACATCACTGCCGTGTGTACCAACTTTATTGCTAACTAACCGAGGGGAAACAAATTGTTGTCCACGACGGGGAAAGACCGCGCATTAGCCTCCAAACTCCATGCTTTCACGCTCCGTCTTCTCCCTCGGTCGTACCCATTGAGGTATACACCGATGTAAATCGATTATGCATACCCGTGAATCGCGAACTCGATAAATTATTGAAATTCGAAATGTCAAGCCGATTTTCAATGCAATGAACGTCCCATGCAGACATATCGGCGGCGTATCCTACGGTTTATGGGGGGTGGGGTCAAGTTGTCAATGGAATTCTATTTTTTTTTTTCTGTATTTACGTTTCGGGATCGGTGACGATGAAGAGATCACTTTTTAAAGGCTGTAAAAATGCATTCATTTTAACGCTAGTTGCATTTTTCATTTTTTTAGGGGAATATGGGGCAGAATGAGACAGTTAAAAAATGGCTATTTGACGCAATTTAAGCGATTAATCTTCTTTTTGTTAACTTTTTTCATTGTTGGGAGTACTAATGAGAATAATAGTTTTCCATTCAGTAGAATGGAAAATTATTGAGAAGTTTTGAGGGGCGAAGATTTTTGTCAATGGATTATTCGATTGAAATTCAGCATTACATTTTCCCCTTTGGGACTTTGGATTTTGCTGCTTCATTTTCTTTTCAATTATTCCACTGACAAAATCTTCGTCCCTCAAAATTTCTCAATAATTTTCTCTTTAACGGAATGGAAAATAATTTAATAACTATTTGATAATTTTCCATTCTACTAAATAGAAAATTATTATTCTCATCAGTACGCCCAAAAATAGATATTTAATAAAAAACTTTTTTTAACTTGAATTGTGTCAAACAGTCATTTTTTCGACTGTTTCATTTTGCCCCACATTTCCGCACTGGAAAAACTAGTGTCTCAAATGAAGACATTAAGACGTGTTGAAGACACTGGTTTCTACAGTTCACCGAAATTTCCGGAAATTGAAACACTCAAATGAACTTCCACATGTTAAAATTAATTAAATAGCCCCGTTAAGCATGATAATTCCAATCGTAGGATTCCAAAAGTTAATACGAGGATTCTGAAAAGCCCGAGGATCCTCTCTCAGATATAACCCCGAATATGCTAATTATGAAGTGCCGGGGTCAGAGTGGATTTTCTCCGAAATCTCTAGGTCTAAACGTACTACCAACCATACACGTCGGAGTTATAATACCGATTAGCTATCGTCGAATTGCATAATTCTCGTGTAAAAGCTTGGAGTACAATTAGCATTAATTGCGATACGGTTGTCGAGTTACTGACTTGTTTACAATTCCGTAGTGCATTACAACGACATACGAAACGAGTAAAAAGGCATTAATGTATAATTTCCGTCGCTCAACTTTTTGTGCTATCTTATCCCCTTTGTTTGATTATTTCTCTCACTCGTCTTGCACGAGAGTCACGACAGGCTTTTGTGTGGGTGATATACACCCCCTTGGCACATTAGAAAACACACCTCCCTCGGGGCTTTTATTTCCCTCTTCTCAATCCGGAAAACGCACGGAAATACAACTTACATTCTCGTTAGCGTTTTCAGATAAAAACTCTTGTTACGAATGCGGTTTTTAATGATACCTCTTTTTTTATTCCGCGCCCATATATAACAGCGACATACCCCTTTCTTTTATTGTAATTTCTGAAAAAAGTTTTAATCACTGTTTTTTTCTTCTTATGTGCACATTAATAACGAAGAGCGAGTGAGTGTAAGGGCTTGTGCTCAACAATTATTACCAGAGTTATGTGGATATGTGTGTGTGGAATGCACCAGCGAATATAGAAGTTGTAATCGATGGTCCTCGTATCGTAGGGTTCGAGCGACGCGTTCGGTGGCAATACGTTCTCGGCAATGGCCACGGTAAATATGCCAATAGCACAAGAGTACCCGGGGATATGCGAGAGGGCTGGGGGGGTGGCAAAAGAGGAACAGGAAAAGCGAGAGATAGAGACTCAGCGAATATAATTCTGATTTATGTTGGATGGTGAAACTCAGCTGGTATAAAACTCCACGAGTATTTTCATTTTCGTTCAAGCACCATCGATTATTCTTTGTATTTTTTTACGCTGTTTCAGGGACTTTTATTCGTTTTCATTTTCATCTGTTATTTTTCCTCCATTTATTTGTTTTCCACTTTTTTCTTCATTTCAGCGCAATTTGGGCACTTCTCGATATTTTTTCAACTTCTGTGCAATCGTTTCATGAACATTTATAGAATTAGACAAGTTCGGGTGAATTTATTCTTGAATTTTTAATTAGTCGAGAATTCAGCGTCAAATTTAAGTGTTAAGGGTGCGAAAACAAAAAATTCGGATTACAATTCTCATCAATTTGGAGTATCAGATTCCCGAGTATTTTCATTTTCGTTCAATCACCATCGATGATTCTTTGTATTTTTTTACGGTGTTTCAGGGACTTTTATTCGTTTTCATTTTCATCTGTTATTTTTCCTCCATTTATTAGTTTTCCACTTTTTTCTTCATTTCAGCGCAATTTGGGCACTTCTCGATATTTTTTTAACTTCTGTACAATCGTTTCATGAACATTTATAGAATTAGACAAGTTCGGGTGAATTTATTCTTGAATTTTTAATTAGTCGAGAATTCAGCGTAAAATTTAAGTGTTAAGGGTGCGAAAACAAAAAATTAGGATTACAATTCTCATCAATTTGGAGTATCAGATTCCCGACTATTTTCATTTTCGTTCAATCACCATCGATTATTCTTTGTATTTTTTTACGCTGTTTCAGGGACTTTTATTCGTTTTCATTTTCATCTGTTATTTTTCCTCCATTTATTAGTTTTCCACTTTTTTCTTCATTTCAGCGCAATTTGGGCACTTCTCGATATTTTTTTAACTTCTGTACAATCGTTTCATGAACATTTATAGAATTAGACAAGTTCGGGTGAATTTATTCTTGAATTTTTAATTAGTCGAGAATTCAGCGTAAAATTTAAGTGTTAAGGGTGCGAAAACCAAAAATTCGGATTACAATTCTCATCAATTCGGAATGTTGCGACCCAACTAATATAAGACTTCCCGTATTTTCACTTTCGTCCAAGTGCCATCGATTAACTGTTCTATTTCGTACGGAATTCCCGGGACTTTTATGAGTTTTCATTCCTATCGCCCATTTTGTCCCCCTTTTTTTCATCTCAATGTAATTTTCGGAAATAACTTTTGCGCAGGGTGAAGTAAATTGATAGGAAAAGTTGGATGCCCGAGAAGTTGAAACATTGAGGTAATAGTCTGAGAGATTTGCCCGCAGTTTTACGACATCTCCGTGAAGTGGTCAGAACGCAAAACCACGGGAGAAGAGCGGAGTCAATCCCGGCTCTCCGATTAGACGAAAGGATCGTTAAAGGACACTCCCGCGAGTTTTCCTCTGCCATGAAATTGCCAAACTTAATCCCTCTCCCCTTAACCTTTTCCAACGAATGACTGGCGCAATTTGTCGACCACGAGAGTGCGATTAGCAGTATCTGTCATCGCACAGACACACACTCGGTTATAAAGTATGCCCATTTCCGCGATGTGGGAGTGAGAGAAGTGAATCGTTTTCCATTTTCCTAACTCCGGAAATTTCCATTTTTCCTTCTGCATAATGCAGCGGTGGAAGGAATAGAATTTCCAATCCTTTGAAGGATAGAATAAGAAAGGGTTGGGGGGGGAGGGAATAGAGAGCNTAGAGAGCTCGCGGTGAAAAGCACCGAGAGATATAAAAAATTATTGGGGGCAGGAGAAGGAATGGTAACCCAAGGGGTATTACCGTCGGCCGAGTTTCTTTCCAGAGGGTGTAATTTATCGTCGAACATAGCCATTTCATCGTACATTATTCCTGGAAATTCAGCACCCGAGAGAGGGGATTCGCCGAGCGATTTTCGTTAATTTTTTTCTTCTTATTCTCGTTGGGGGCATTATAATGCGTGGCTTGCTGCTTTAATGGGGACATATGTAGAGTAGTCCACACGGGCATTGTCCTTGTGGCGTAAAGAGACCCTCTGGAATCACCTGACTGCACTGGGCGCCAGGCCATTGTTTCCAGGTTCGACCTCCCGCGAGATCTAACGAGGCTTTATTTTCTTCTTTTTTCATTTCGTTTTATCCGGCTTTTATTCAAAATCCGGGGGGGGAGTTTTCAATCCTGGCTTCTGTTTGCTCATTTGGGTNTGCTCATTTGGGTGAGTTGTAACATCAGATTACGTGTCCTGGAAAAGACGTGTTGGAGTTTCACTTAAATTTCGAGGAATGTCGTCATTGAGAATTTAAATTTTCATAGCAAAATTGAGAAACTTTAATTTATATGAAGGACATTGATTGGTTTTGATGTTTGGTGAGTATTTAGGATTGTTAGGACATAGTTTACATTTTAACAATAGTCAAGTGATTGCGCAATCTTTTCAAATTATTTCAGTAGCGAAGTGGTGAAAGCGTTTAAGTCGACTCATTTCCCAATTGTAGTTTTTGAGGAATATTTCCGAATCTAAGGGAGATAGCGCAATTTCCGTAATTACATTTGTTGTAGCACTCAATCGGCTCCACAAAAAACGTTATAACAAAAATTTCGCTGTCTCCCTTAGATTCCGAGATATTGATTGAAAACTGGTCAATAGTCAAAATTGACTTATACCATTCCAGAATAAATTACGCACCTGAAGAGGAATTTCGAATGCCTTGAGCATTCGAAACGTAGTGCAATTGAATTAGTAAATTTGTAATGAATTATTGCTGCTGACCTGAATATGGCCCAAATGGATTTCACCAAACTTTAATTCAGTAGTGAAGTGGTAAACCGGTATAAGTCGATTTTGACTATTGCCCAGTTTTAATAAATATCTCAAAATCTAAGGGAAATAGCAAAATTTTTGTCATAACCT